TATGCTTTCACTGCCTGTCACATCTAATCCTGATTCCTGTGGGCTGCCAGGTCTCTACCTAATGGGCTCTGGTCTCCGGCTGGAGTTCCTGAAGGTCTATAATGCTCTCCTCATCACTATCTCTTTTTCACAACTTAAGACACCTTTGACCTATGTTGCATGCATCACAACAATGTTTTCTCAGTCTACTATTTTTTTGACTCTTCTCCAATGCTAAAACAAAAGGGATATTTATTCCGCAGTTTTTTTGTCATTCAGGTTTATTTCTTAAGGTGAAAAATATATCTGCGTAAATTACTTTGTCCCACCTTTTCTCTCTACTGAGAAACAGCATGAGCTGTAAAATTGTACTGTAATTAATACTTCCTTTGAGCTGCCATTTTTCACCATCATCTAAGCTATACAGAGGTCACCAGTTTTGACAGTACTTTAAGGATGTCTTTTTGTTCAGATTCCATCCAGGAATTCTGCCTAACTCTTTCCAATGTTTTAAAATGCATCCCAGAGGTGTTTTGGTATTTATCTCTTTGCTCAACCCACTCCCCATCTCTCTAATGAGTCTGGTATATCTATCTACAATTTATCAGTTGCTATTGGTGGCACCGTACTTTTCTCAGAGCATACACCACAGTCTAAGACCTCTATTTAGCCATATTTCTCAGTCTCTTTGGGGGGATAATATAACTTAGCTACAATCTCTATTCATCAGATTAAATCAAATTATTGAACACTCTGAGCATCAGTAATATACCATCCTATATAAGGATCATGAACCCACATAGGTTCCCAATTACTAAAGTTCTCAATTACTAAAAAATCATATCCTTTCTGTTCTAAATGATCTATAAATTTATGCAATGTTCCCCATAATTTTTCAAGCACTTCCCACTGCTGAATTTCTCTTTCCAACTCTAATTGTGCTATGCTTCACTCATCATCCTCTAGCCTAATGCATTTCTTATAAAACTCCTGTTCTCATCTCAAAATATTCCTCAATCTATCCCACCACTTCATGTATTTACTGACCAATCGCTTCGTCTGTTTCTGGCCCGTGCCCTCGTGGGCAGCATGGAACCACAGACTGGGACTCCTCACTCACCTCATAGTAAAAACTGTGTCTAGCAGTCATAAATAAAGATACGGTGGGCATTTGAGAGGAATAAGAAGGTCATGGGTCAAAAGATTTTGCAAGTTCCAGAAACTAGGTCGTTGAACAAAGGAAATTGAAAATTTCAAGTGAGGCAGATGATTAAAGAGACCCCAAAATTGAGGCCAAGACTCGGAACAACCACCAAAAATCTCCCCAAAAAGACAATTGTAGAAGACTCTGCCTCAAGCTCCGCCTAAACCCCGTCCATAATGAATATGATGATTAGATGCCAAAATCAAATGAATATGTGTGTAAAATTGTAGCCTCTAACGAAAGCTGTATAAATTACCTGACTTTTCCCTGAGTACTTTGGAGCTAGTTTGTCTGGTGCAAACCAACTAGTTCCCCGATGTTGCATGAAATAAATACCTTGCTACTTAAAGACAAAATTCGTCTCTGAGCAGTTATTTTGAGCCATTTTTGGCATCTGACAACTCGTTGAGACTGCTGAATGAGAGGGCGAGTCAAGTGAATTTGCAGAAGTTAAAGCCATCCAACGAGCCCTAAAGATTGACAAACGAGAAAAAGGGACCTGTACTTTATACTGATTCTTGGACAGTGGCTAATGCCCTGTGGGGGTGGCGACAGCAATGGAAGAAGGTCAATTGGCAACACAGGGGTAAACCCATTTGGGCTGCTGCATTGTGGCAAGACATTGCTGCACGGGTAGAAAACATGACTCTGAAAGTGCATCATGTCGATGCTCACATGCCCAAAGGTTGTGCCACTGAAGAACATCAGAACAATGAACAGGTGGATAAGGCTGCTGAGATTAGAATAACCCAGGCAGACTTGGACTGGGAACAGAAGGGTGAGCTATTTAAAGCCTGATGGGCCCATGAGACATCAGGACATCTAGGAAGAGATGCGACATACAGATGGGCTCATGATAGAGGGGTGGATCTGATCATGGAGGTCATCACACAGGTTATTCCTGAATGTGAAACGTGCAGCAATCAAGTGAGCCATGCAAGTAAAATCTCCCTGGAACAGAGGGTGGTGGCTGGGCTTCCAATATGGTAAGGTCTGGAAAATTGACTACATTGGACCACTGCCACAAACACACCAAGGCAAGAGCTACATACTCACCATGGTGGAATGTAGAAGTATGTCTCAGTTTAAATGAGACACAGGTGTTTTGCTGAGGATGAGTTATGAGGAAGACCCAAATTCCTCCCTCTAAGCAATTGTAAATCCGAAATTAGGAGGCTACAATTGAGGGGGAAAAAAAGTGCGGAAAAAGGAAGAATAACAGCCCCTTATTAAAAGATATATGTGTTTTGGCAGAAACAAGGAGAGAAAACAAGTAAAACAGCCAAACATTACTTCTATACCCACAAATAATCCCCTTCAAAACAAACCAATAAACAAGCAAAGAAAAAGGTAAACAGTTCAGTTTGCCCCCTTTGGTGCAATTCTAACCACAGTCAACAGGGGACACTGTTGGATCACCAGAGATGCAGAGCCTGCAATGCTTTTTACCGATCATCAGGGGGCGTTGTTGAATCACTGGAGATGCCACGTGGGGGAACACCCTCCTGGGTGTATTGGAGAAACCAAAAATGGAGGTCTTCCCTCCCGCCCTGGGAAAGGGGAGAGATAGGAGGGAGAGAAAGAGTCCTTCCCAAGAGGAACTCACTCTGTCCTGATGCCCAAAAAAATCAGATAAAACTGTTTAGACAGAGTTTTATGCCTAAAACAGCAAGGTATTTATTGACTGACGGCCGGGCAACCTGCCAGCTAATGCTGGGAAAACAGGCTCCGAGCAGGTTAGGTTAGAATGAGTATTTTAAACAGGTTTGGCAATGATTACAACATAATCACATACATATTTATATTATTGCATCATTAGATTACAATATTCATAGCAGGTGGAGTCAGGGCAGAGATTGAGGCGTGGTCTCTATTTTGAGGAATATTTTGGTGGGAGATCATGCCTTACTTCCTCATGGGGTCTCAAATTCTCTCCTCTTCATTGGGTGACCCTGGTGACCTTTCGTTCTTTCCATTGCTCTGTGTTCTGATCATTCAGCTTTAAAGAAACCCTTGGCTTTAGGCCCGCTTTACCCATTCAAATGTCTACCTTGGCTCCTCCGGATGAGATTTATGGGCATTGGGTTCTTTGTCCAGTGTTTGTTGTGATTCCTTTAAGGTCTGATGCCCAGCACGGGACAAAGTCTTCCTGTACGAAATGTAGTTTACAGTAAACGAAATATAGCTTTCAGTAAACTTTAAGTCGTACGGGGGGGTAGGGGGGTTCTTATGGGTTTACAGTAAAAGTATTTCGATTAACCCTTCCTGTTTCAGTCCCACTGGTCAAACTGTGAGGTATAGTTTTTCCTTTTTCCTTTAATGTGCACAAGAACTGCTGCCAAGAAAGAAAAAAAACAGGAACAGAGTAGGGGAAAACTTTCCAAAACAGTTCCTCTCCGATGAAAATCCAAGCAGAATCCACAGTTGACAACCAGGCTATAAACAAAACCACCTCCGAGCTCCTACTCCAACCTTGTTCAAGCTCCAGCAGTAACCTCAACTCCTCCCCCTCCATTTCCGAGGAGACAAGAGAGGAAAAAAATAAAAAAAACAAACCAAACAAACAAAACCCAAAAAAAACTCCTCACCCCTCCCCAAATACAAGATCCTGAGGACCATCAACTAGGAATATAGTCCTACCAGCCACTTCTTTTGTTTTACTTAATTGCCTAAGTCATAGTCAATCTGCCCATTCAACATCCCCTTCACACATTGGACAGGGGGAAGGGAAAAATTCCTGCTTAGTTTCTAAGAACCAGCAAAACCATGACAGAGTAAATACCCTTTTCCAGAAGATTTTGCTACCGAGGAGTCAGTTATTTCACTTTGGAAAGGTTCCCCTGCCACTTTCTCAAAACAGTGCTGTTCTCTCCCCCCTTGCATTTCAGAAACTTGCTCTCTGATACGTGAGGAGAGAGCAGATGCCACAGGCCTTTGCATTCTAGTGGGGAGAGTAATGGCCAGTCTTCGCAAACGAAGAACCGGGGAAGGTCTTTACACCTTCCAACCTGCGCATTGGATTTTTTTTAGGTGAGACACAGTGTGCGCAGAACTGAGCCCACCCTTTAATCCTAAGGTTCATCTGCCGGGGCCAAGTGAGCTTGGACGGTGGCAGCGAGGTCCTCAGGACGTAGATTGATTGCCTTACAGGGCTAACGAGCTCCATCTGCCCGGGGAGGGGCCCTGACCGGGAATCGAACCCGGGTCTCGGCGTTGACAGCGCCGCGGCTTAACCACTGCACCACCAGGGGCACTCAAGTGGGGAGAGAGAGTGGAGCAGAGATAATAAAACTCGAAGATGAAACAGGAGGAGTGTCTTGCTCAGGTCCAGTGCTGCTGTGCACCCTAGTGCAGCTCTTCCTTTGTAAGTTTTTAGCTTTCTTATCTTCAGAATAAACCTTTTTGGATTCTTTTCACTGCCTTGGCATTTTTGGGGGTACCTGTGGGTATCTTACCACACATGGAGGCAACGGTTGGCTGACTGGAAACATATCCTGTAAACCAGATCACTGCTCGAAACACCATCTTAGGCCTTGAGAGGCACATTTTGGGGTGACATGAAGCCCTAGAGTGAATTGAATCAGATAATGGCACTCACTTTTGAAATAACCTTATAAGCTCTTGGACAAAGAAACATGGCATTGAGTGAATATATCACATCCCTTATCACTTACAAGCCCCTGGAAAGATTGAGAGGTATAATGGACTGCTGAAGTCTATGTTAAGAGCGTTAGGTGATGGGACATGGAAGCATTGGGATGCAAACTTAGCTGAAGTCACTTGACTGGTCAACACTAGAGGATCTGCCAACCACTCTGGTCCTGACCAAACAAAACCCCTACACACTGTGTGAGGAAAGAAGAGCCCTGTACTACACATGGGGAAGTGGTTGGGGAAGTCGGTGTGGGTTTCTCCTCCCATGGGGAAAGGCAAACCCATTTGTGGGATTGTCTTTGCTCAGGGACCAGGGTGTACCTGGTGGGTAATTTGGAAGAATGTGGAGTCCCGGTGTGTTCCTCAAGGAGATTTAACCTTGGGGAAAATATAATCTCTGTTGTAAGTTGTATGTTGCAGGAAGTAAAGTAGCAGGACAATGAAAAACAAATTTTGTGAGGAGTAAGGAGAGTGCGACAATGACCCGAGCTGGGTTGCTGTTGGTGCCCAAAGATAGATTGTGTTTCTTCTAGTGTCCTGAGTGCCCATCCTGATGGAATGGAGTCCAAGATTTGGAGGGGTAGAAAAAGCCAATAAAAATCGGAAAAAATAACACTTATGTGTGAAAGGATGGGGTATATATATATAATATAGGTATTAAGTGGGATCTGAGTATGACGCAAATGGTATGGAATAAGGGGTGGAGATTGTATTGTATCTGGTTGAGATGGAGTTCATTTCCCCATAGCAGCCCTCACAGTGCTGTGCTTTGCATTGGTAGCTGGAAAGGTGTTGATAACATGCCAGTGTTTTGGCTACTGCTGAGCACAGCATCAGCACTGTAACATTCCTTCCCCAATCAAGGGCAGGATCCTGGGAGGGGACCCAAGTAGACCAGCTGACCCAAACTGACTAAAGGGATATTCCATATCATATGATGTCAGCTGAGATATAAAAGCTAAGGAAAGGAGGAGGAAGTGGGAGCATTCATTGTTTACAATGTCCACTACAGTTGGAAAGGCAAGGAAAGGCAGGGCTTGGCAAGGCAATGCAAGTCATAGGAGGAGCAAGGCCAGGCAAGAAAGTGGTAGGCATGACAAAGTGGGGGATGGGACTCGAATGCAAAGCAAGGCAAGGCAATGGTTGGCAGGGCAAGGCAAGGTAGTGGGAGGCAAGGCAAAGGGATGGGTCTGCAAGGCAAAGCAACTGAGAGATAGGCAATGCAAGGCAAGGCAAGGCAAAAGAGATGTAGGCAATGCAAGGCAAGGCAAGGGAGTGGTAGGCAAGGCAAGACATGGCAAGAGATGGTAAGGCATATCAAGGAAATGCAAGGTTGGGCAGGCAAGGCAAGGCAGTGCAGGTATGGATGCTGAAAGAAATGGAGCTGCACACCATACAGAGCTCAGTTTCAGGATTTCTTCCCTGACATTTTTCGTTATTCCTCTTTTATTCATATTCTCTTGTAAAGAGCACCTGTTGTCTTTTAGTTAACTGGAATTCCCAGGATCGTCCTAAACCAGTATTTTGATCCCACACACTCATACTGGTTGTGTTCAGCCATGAGAGAAAAACACACGCTATCATGCAGAGTGGTTTTCCACTTTGAGAAACACAACATTCTCTCTGTCAAAACACTTAGCCAAGGTGGGTCCTCCCTTTTGATTACAATTAACTAAATGCAGGTGCAGAGTGACTCAGCTTGTTCCCACAGCAAGGGAGGGGTAGGCAGGGCAAGGCAAGACAAGGGTGTGGTAAGCAAAGCAAGGCAAGGAGTGGGTTTGTAAGGCAAGACAATTGAGAGGTGGGCAATAAAAGGCAAGGCAATGCAAGGGAGGTATTGGAAATTCAAGGCAAGGCAAGGTAGGACAAGGCAAGGCAACACAAGGCAAGGGAAGGGAATAGAAGGCAAGGCAAGGTAAGAACACAGAGCAGTCAGAAAGGCAAGGCAAGAGAGGGATAGGCAAGGCAAGACAAGACCAGATAAGAAGGTTAGACAGATCAAGATGATGAATTGTTATCCAAGGCCACGCAAGGCAAGGGAAGAGTTAGTGGGACAAGGCAATGCAAGGGAGTGGTAGGCAAGTGAGAAATAGGGAATGAAAGGCAAAACATAGCAAATGTGGTGTAGAAAATTGAATGGAAGGCAAGGGAGGAGTAGGAAAGGAAAGGCAGGGCAAGGCAAGTCAAAGTGTGGTATACAAGAGAAGGCAAAACATGGGTTGGCAAGGCAAGTGAAAAGTAGGCAATGAAAGGCAAGGCAATGCAAGGGAGGTGTAGGCAATTCAAGGTCAGGTAAGGGAGGGGTAGGCAAAACAAGGCAAGGGATGGCCAGGTATGGCAAGGGACTGCCAGGTTGGCTAGGCAATGCAACGCAATGCAATGGAAGGGTGGGGTAGGCAGGGCAAGGAGTCGTGGTTTTGCCCATCAGCCCATCCCTGGGGCTGAAGATAGTTTTGTCCAGGTAATTTCCGGACAAAAAGGCCAATCAAAAGTCCAGTAACGCCTTTGCTAATTACATCTTCAAGAAAACGGAAGAGAAAGTTGTTGGCGCAGTTGAAATTAGTAGCAGCAGCCATGTAGGGGAGAGGAGTAGCGGGCCCGAGCAGGGCCAAACTCCCTCCTCCCCCGGCTTGGGCCGGGGTGGGGGGAGCAGGTGCAACACTGAAGTCCTCCCTTCTCTCTTGTAAGGGAATGAAGAAAAAAAAGTTTAAAAGATGGACTGCTTGAACAGAAACTGCTGTGGAAAAATTCCAGCCGAAAGATAACGGAGCTTCCAAGGTCGAAGCTGGCAGCTGAAACTGCAGCAAGAAAAGTAAAGTGCGAAAGGAGAGAGGCTTATATCCCCCCTGCCTTTCTGCTCTCTCTCCTTAGCAGGGAAAAGACTGAAAAGTAATCCCTGCTACTTATAAAAGCTTGTTGAAGTAAGGAGACCCCCTATGCAGCTAATAGAAGAGTCTGTGGATGTACCAAAGAAAACCGAAACTTCATGAAAAGGACTGAAGTGAGGCAGAGTCCTAGTGGAGATTTGTGACCCTGAGGAAAACCTGTGCTGGAGCAGTGACGACTCAAGTAGAATACTGAAATCCGTGTGTGTGTGTGGATCTATACTGCTGTTAAAGATTTTGTAACTCTGAAAAATCTCATGCTGGAGCGAGACGGCTCATGTGAGATGTTGGAATCCGTGCGTGTGTGGATTCGTGCTAGACCCATGCCTAGAAGTCTATCAAGAACTGTTCTCCCATGGAGAGGGACCTCCATAGGGAAACAGGGGTGAACTCTTAAGCCATTATCCCCTGTAACCCTGTGGAAGAAGATCCATAGTAAGCAAGTGTCCCCTTGCAAGCCTATGGAAGGAAGACCTTTCAAGACTGGGTAACCCCCAGCCTTTGGTCTTAACCCAGGAGAGGGGTAAGCCCAGCCCTGGAAGCCAACACAAAGCGAGAGAGAAAGAGAAGAAGTTCCAACTGCAATGAAAGTGCTGCTACTGCTGAGAATCTGTTACTAGAAGGAGAGAACTGGAGCTCCAAAAATACAAAATGAAACTACTTCTTCTCCTTAGACTGGTATAAAAGAGAAGAAGTATTTCTGTAAATATATAACACTTCAACTTGAGTAAAAATTGTTATAAATATAATTCTTTAGTTTTTAACTTATTAGTAATTTTTGTTTTACTAGTAATAAATGTATATACTATTTTACCCCAAATCCTGTCTCTCTTTTGTCTGCAAAAACTTACTCTCAACTAGTGATAATTATGTGGGGAATACAAGGCAAAATTGACCCAGAGCAAAACCACGACACAAGGCAAGGCAAGACAGTGACCTACAAGAAAAGGCAAAGGATGAGTTGTGAAACGAGAGCAAGACCTAAAAGAGTTAAACTGAGGTATCTTGCTCTTTTGGGGAAAAGATCCCCCAACACCTGTTCTACCTGTGCTGCTAAGGAAACATTCCAAACTTGTTCTACTCATTGGACCTAAACCTAAGAAGAATGCTAGAAACACTATACAATCAACCTAGAGGCCATAAATAAAGACAAGGTAGACATTTGAATAAGAGAAAAGGGCTGAGAGCCAAGGGGTTTTGCAAGCTTCAATAGTTGGGACAAGAACAACAGAGAGGTAAGGAGGTCAAAGTGAGGAAGAAGAGATATAGACCCCTGATTTGGGGCAGAAGGCTGGAACTACCACCACCAAGAGAAGAATCTGGAAAGCACCACCCTAAACTCCACCTGGACTCCACCTAAACTCTGCCTATAATCAATATGCATGATGAGATGTTGTAATTATATGAATATGTATGTAACCATGGATCTCACCTCACCTCATGGCTAGGCTTTGCAAACGAAGATTTGAGAAGGACTCTACTCACGCTTGCTACAGGTGCGCTGATGGCTACAAAGGTCAATGCGAGATAGACAAGCCCGATTGCAGAAGGCACAGCAGAAAGACTCCCCAGGTGATATCCACAAGATGCGAATCTTTCTGCATTGTCTTTTCTCCTCGAGAGTGATCCTGCGTGTGTTCTCAAAAGAAGCAGCAGTGTTATAGATGTAATGTTTGTTCTTTATCTTATCTGTGTACACAGAGCTAAGTTTACATCCTGTTTATTTGAGTTACATCCCTTATCTAATTCTCCAGGACTTTTCTAAAATTATACTGTTCCTTATTTGGGCATTCTGGGATTCTCTGGATTTCTCCTATCAAATCTCCCCTTTTTCTTGAGACTAAATTCCTTAAGGAAATTAGTCTCTTAATATCTATATTTTATTTTATAGCTTAAGGCATTACAACAGCTACAACCCTGACTCATGATGTGAGCCAAAATACAAACGGCAATTATTATGATTATAGCTATAAAGAGCTCTTTTAGCCACCTAAAATCAGGTAACCAGCAGTTCAGGGGATTCCAGATTCCTTGAAAACCTAAAGAGGTGTCATCTTGAGCTACCTGATGTAAAATTTGGGTTTCTTTCCAAATTTCCTGGACATCTGTAGACACTACCACTTTGGTTAATGTATAAACAACAGCTGGTGCTAATGACAGTGCATACTCCTCCTTGTGATTCTAAAAGAAGGTCTAGGCCATTCATTCTTGTAAAAAAACTTGTGGCAATCTATTAACTTCTTCCTATAATGCAATAATTTTACCCACTATATGATTTTCTATATATTCTATGATAGCAGAAATGTTTACTATTGCTTTTTCCAATTCACTCACTCCTAGACAGGGTAAAAACCATCTTACGAAACTGAAATTTAGTTGGTCACTCTGCTATAGCATTTAAGGTTCATTTTGTGTGCCCCAAATAGCTTTTTATACATAATCCTGAGGGCGCGTGATCTTTATCAATTACTGTTATGTTGGGGACTAAACCACCTAAAGTACAAATGCCTTTCCAGCCTAGGGGTAACACTTTCCAGCTTTATTTCCACATATCCAGTACCACCCCACTCCAGTTGGTACTGACCAAAAAGTATTCAGTTCCCCAAAATTAAGTATTTGAGTACATTGTGTGTGATTTCCGACAAATATGTCACTTTCATTCGGGTAATCTAATTTTCCTATTCCCGTTCCTTTAGGGGCGGTTACATCTTTGTACACACGTATGATTCTAAGAGATGTTGGTGGGTACTTGCACACTAACTATTATGTCTACTTTTTGGTGAAAGGAAGCTCTTACACAGTGACTAATATTAATTTCTCCCTGAATTGGAAATGCATATATGGTTAATGGCTTCATTGTGTTTTCAGGTAAATGAATGCACACCCAAGAATTATTTTTATGCAACACATGGGTCACATTTTGTAATAAAACTATACATAAATTTTGCTCCCAAGTCAAGATTGAATCAACTATTGTCAGGATAGCAAAACAAGACTTAAACATTTTTTTTATTCTTAGACAACTGATTAATTACCTGAGGGATATCTCGTATCTAGGTATTATCTGATTCAAGAGTATTTTAGTCACTTCCCTAGACTGGTTGGTGTGACAAGGAAAAGCATCTGGTCACCCAGAGAAGGTACCTCCCAAGATTAGAAGATACCCCCCTTTCCTGGGCAATTCAGTGAAATCAGTCTGCCAATTTTCAGCACAGTTAGTTCCACTTTCTGGGCCAAAACATCTGAGGAGAATCATAGAATCATAGAATTACTTGG